TTCCAGACCCTTCGCCATTTTAGTGGCCCTCCTTTGGACACGCTCCAGCTTCTCCACATCCTAGAAAGACAGGAAGACCCCATGCTACATGGATGGAATCTATCAGGGAAGTCACAAGTATGAATTTGCGGGACCTAAGCTGAGCAGTGGATGGTAGAGAGTCCTGGGGTGTCTCATCCACAGGGTCACCATGAGTCAGGCAGAGGTGTACTATCCCAGGGCTTTCTTGGAAATATTTGTTCTGCTCTCACCTTCCTCTAAGGAGGGCTGAGAGAGTGCGGCTTGCCCAAGACCATCCAGTGGGTTTCCATGGCCAAGTAGAGATTTGAACCCTGCTCTCCAGAGTCCAGGAGAGTTGGAGCCAGTGTGGCATAGTGGTTCGAGTGCTAGATTTTGACTCTGGAGACTAAGGTTCAAATCCCCGCTCAGGGATGGAAACCCACTGGGTGACTTTGGGAGAGTCTCACACACTCTCGGCCCTCAGAAAACCCTGTGACAGAGTTGCCTTAGGATTGCCATAATCACAAATGATGACAGCATATAACGACAACTCTTAGTTCAACACCCAAACTACTTGTGATAATCATATTTAGCACTTATGTAGCTCTTTTGCTTGAATGTTCAAGCTCCTCTACAGATGGTATTGCCATATCCATTCATTCATTCATTTCCCCCCCTCATTTATATCATGCCTTTCTTTCAACAGGGAGGTTCACAACAAAATTAAGATACTGCTAAAATCTTAATTATAAAGTTTTTAAAAAAATCTAAATTGGCTATTGTATTTAAAAAACCATTCACCATTACCCCTGCACACGTGTGCACGCACACACACGCGCACACACACACACACTTGTATGTTTTCGGCAAGGAAATTTGGCAGAGATGGTGCTTAGGCTATCCTTGAGGGGATGCTAGCCAGCATCTGCCATGATGGATCTGCCCAGAGTTTGGACTGGTCCTTATCTCTCAGCCTAACCAACCACACAGGGTTGTTGTGAGCATCAAATATAAGGAAGAGGACTAAGCATACTCTATGGTTGCCAGGTCAGAGGTATCCCCAGCTATGAGATTTAAGGACCAAAACTTGAAACCAAGGGATAACTCCTTGCGATGGCACAGGAAGGATTCTGGTGATGTTGCAAGAGTATATTTGGCAGCTGGATCTTGGAGCCGATCAGCAAACACAGTGGGCCTTCCACATTTGATGGATTTAGGGCACGTAACCCCCATGAGGCTGAATGAATGAGTGGATAAATAAGTAAATAAATCACCTTTTTAAATGAGAGAGAACGCCTCTCTGGGAATTTCTGGGTCCTCCAATTCTATTCTACAGCCAACATCTAGCAGAGGTTGATAATAGAATTGCACTGAAGGACTGAGAAATGCCTAGAAAATTGTTTTCTCTAATTCTCCAGAGTGACCAGATGTCCTAATCACAAAGGAGGACAAGGCACTGCAAAATGTAGGACATTCAATAAAAAGGAAGGACATTGCCAAAATAAAAGCTAAAAACATTCATATAAATATAAATTCATGCTTCTTGGCCATGCTCACAATGGAAGACGTTTTGGAATTCCTCCTGGATAGAAAATTGAAATGTAGGACATGTCCTGGAAAAGGAGATGTCTGGTCACCCCGAGCATGGTGACTCTCTGGTCAACTTCTTACAGAGTTATGCTGGAGGAGCTAGAAGTTCTTAGAGAGAACATATTAATCAAAACCATGAATAATCAAATCCGCAAAAGTCAAAGGTGCACATGTGGAGGGCTGACTGTACATCCTGAGGTGTATTTGCAGCTGGAATTACAACAAAAGGAGCATCTGCAGTACACAGATACTGCATTTTGGTTCCACTGTGCTTGTCCTCCTCATCCTAGTTTGCCAAATAGCAACAAAACCTCCACCTCCGGATAATGCTCTGATATTTAGTGGAACGATGCTGGTGCTAAAACAAGACAATTGTGTGTGCCCCCCCTCCCCGGGGAAAAGCCTCTGTTTCATCTGGGAAAGACAGGAACTGAGAATCCCCCCCCCCAAAAAAACATACCCTCCCAAAAAAGAACCAAGAAATTTGATGAACAGGAAACTGTGCTCTTGAAACAGAGACCTTGCTTCCTGTTTGGTTAATAGGGAAGGCAGAGCAGGGGACAAAATCTGGTTTAAAAAGCGTGGGCGACAGACAGCTTGAAACCTCATTCATTGCAAAAGTTTGTTGTTGTTGTTTAACTGAAATCTCTATGGCCAAAGTAATTTCTCCAAGCTCTGATCTAACCTTGGAAGGGAATCCCTCAACATCCATGCTCGGATTCATGGATCCCATCCCAGGCACCTATATATATCTGGGATGGGCAATGGTGACAGATCTGAGCATCCATTTTCTGCCCAGGGACTTTCCAGCCAAAAAGTAAATAAAAATAATAATGGGGGCTAGCACCCAGTTACTGGCATATGAAGATATTAAGTCCACCTTACGCTTCTGTTTTGTCTTTTTTTGGGTTGTGGAGGAGGTTTTCTTCCACCTTCTTCAACAATCAAAGCGGAAAAGACCATTGAAATCCGGATTAGGTAGCTGGCCACGACCCTCTGAAGTCGGGTATTGGACTCATTGTAATTCCCTCAAGTAGATCCGCAGGGGACTGTTGCTTTGTTGGACTGTTGCTTTGTTGCTGCAGCTGTGTGTTGATTGTTGTAGCTGTTATTATGTTGGGTTTTAGATTAATTACTGCTTAGTTGCAGTTGTTTTAATTCTATTTGATTTAATAACTTTTTAAGGGGGGGAGGAGGGATGTTGTTGTTTTAACCTGTTTGTAATCTACAATTTTATTGTTCACCGCCTAGATTGGTTTTCCACTGGGGCGGTATACAAATAAACTATATTATTATTATTATTATTATAGAACCCCTGTGGCCCTTCCATGTCTGCCTTGTTGTTTTATATTGTTTTAAAGTTTGTATATGGTTTTTAATAGAATATTAGTTTAATTCAGTTTTAAGGGGTGGGAGGGTTAGGGGATTGGGATTGTCTGTTTTTAATTATGCTGTAACCCGCCCCGATTGCCTAGCAGAGGGGCGGGCTATAAATAATAATAATAATAATAATAATAATAATAATAATAATAATAATTATTATGATGATGATGTCTGGTGGAGAGTGAGGTGGGAGAATGGAGAAGAATCTGGCTATGTTCATGTAACCAGGCACAAAACAATGGCATCATCTGCTGATATCCAGCCATGTCCTCCAGAGGTCTCATAATAATAATTCTTCTGCATTTGGCTACAGAGACACAGCCAGAGGCTTCTCTGGCTGCCACTCTCCACTAGTCACAGAATGGCTGTGGGTTTGCAAGAGCTCAATGGTAAATGGGCAAGTGGAATAGAATGGCCAGCTGAACTGTAATAGTACAGTGGACACTTGGTATCTGCTCATGTTTGGTTACAGGACCCTCTGTGGATACCAAACTTCATGGATGCCCAAGTCCCATTATATACAGTGGTGTAGTAAAATAGCGTCTCTTATATAAAAGTGCAAAATCAAGGTTTACTTTTTGGAGTTTGCTTTTTTGAAAAAAATATTTTCAAGCCATGAATGGTTGAATCCATGGATGCAGAATCTGTGGATACGGAGGGTTGACTGTATTGTGCTATGCTGCACCATAGAGGATCTTGGCTAGAATGTTGGCTGGGTGTATCTTACAACCTATTTGAAAGATGAATGGTCCTTCTGGGAATCAGCAGAAGGAGAGCTCTTTCATAATTTTGGACCAGAACCTGGAGTGAATGCACACTTTGCATCCAGTATCAGTCCTTGCTGTTATTATTTACCGTCATGTTGGCTCCAACTTTGGTGACCCGATAATTGAGACATCTTGTTGTTAGAGTCCTGCTCAGTTCTTGCAACCTCAGGACAACTTATCCAAAGAAGAAGAGAAGAGAATAGGCGGTTAAGAGGTGATATGATAGCCCTGTTAAGTATTTGAAAGGGTGTCATATTGAGGATGGAGCAAGCTTATTTTCTGCTGCTCCAGAGACTAGGACACAATGGAGCAATGGATCCAAGCTACAGGAAAAGAGATTCCATCTCAACATTAGGAGGAACTTCCTGACAGTAAGGGCTGTTCGACAGTGGAATACTCTCCCTTCTTTGGCGGTTTTTAAACAGAGGCTGGATGGCCATCTGTCAGGGATGCTTTGATTGGGAGTTCCTGCATGGCAGAGGGGTTGGACTGGATGCCCCTTGTGGTCTCTTCCAACTCTATGATTCTATGATTCTAAGAAAGGTGGGAGACTGGGGAGGGTCTCCACCAAGTATGTCAGGTAATAAAATCCTTGTTGTTGTTGCATGCCTTCGTTTATGACTTATGCTGATGCTAAGGAAACAACGAGGCTTTTATTTAGAATATATGCAGACACACACAATAGGAATCCACAGACACAGCATTCAGAGCTAACTGAAATAGTAATGTGGAAATAGGATAGTGGAGTTTTTAGGGGTTTGCAGTGGGGTGATCATTACCTATCCAATGAGTAGACCATGGAACGAACGCTGGAGTGGCTCAGACCAGGAGGTCTTAGGGTGACACAGAACATACAGAGAGCACAGAGATGTATGTTGGCTGTGTGTGCAGAGGTTAAGTTATTGGGAGCCATATGCATTTATACTTAAAATCTAGCCCTAAGCAGTGGGCTGTCTTGTCAGGCAACAAAGGCTGGATGTCCTTTCCTAGGAATGAACACTGGTTGATGGCTTTAATTTTAGTATGAGAAAAACAGGGATTGGATCAGGATATCCCCAGGATGGACGGACAGGGAAGCTTGGCTGGGGAGACCATGGGGGTAGGGAGGGAGGTTGGTTTGCTGCTTTGGGTGCAAGGAGATCCTCTGTCTCAAGGTGCAAGAGGAAAGGCAGATGATTTGGGGGAAGGAAGAAGCAGCTCTCATTACCTGATGTGCACAAGCCCCGGGACACATTCCTTTTCCCCTGGGAACCTGACTTAGTGTTCCTGAAAGGACATCAATCTCTGAAAAACACGCTATTTCCAGACATGAGATATGAAATATGGGGACCCCAAAATACCGCACGGGATATACAGGGTTGTGCTAAGAAGAGGCAAAATGAGGGCAATAGCATCCCAAGTAAAAATATGGCCCCCTCCATAAAGCTTTCCTTCATTCCCCAAATTTCTAGCGTTGCAGAGTAAGATCCTGAAAATCATTTGCACCTAGAACTCTTCTATTTGCTTTGTTTACGTTCCCTTCAGCTGCATTTGCATTGCAGAATTAATGCAGTTTAACACTGCTTTAAGTGCCATGGCTCCATGCTACAGAATCCTGGGATTTGTAGTTTGTGGTGGCACCCGAGCTATCTGACAGAGAAGGCTAAATAGCTCACAAAACTACAAATCCCAGAATTCCATTGCATTGAGCCA